GACCACGCAGGACCGAGCCCGTTAGCACCCCAGAGGGGCGGAGCCGGGGGCCAGGGGAGATGCCGGGGGCGCCCGGCGCCCTTGGGCCCACAGGCGGGGTCCGTGCCCGGGTTCCGGGGCGCAGAGCCACGCCCACACCGCCAGCACATACGTACAGTACCCCGACTCTAGGAGAGTATCACGGGCCTGGCAGGTCTGGGGGGGACCAGCTCCCGGACGCTGAGATGAGCCCACGAGGCCACGCGAGGGCTGCAGCAGACGCGCCGGCGGGCGAGAGAGCGGCGCAGACAACGGCCGGCACACACGCGTCGCCGCGAAGAAACAGGCCGCTCAGGGCCACACGGGCACAGACGGCCGGTTAAGGGCCCCGCCATGGAGTAAGCCCCGGACCGGCAGGCTCAGCCAGGGCCAGGGCCCTCCCCGGGGGCCAGCGGGTCAGGCCGGGCACCGCAACCGCCAGCAGCCGCTTCAGTGCCAGCCCCACCCGCAGCCCCGCGGCCACCCCAGGGCCCGCAGACCTCTCGGCGCTGCTCCCTCAGCAGGGCACTTCCTCAATCTGCCTGCCCTGCGCCCCACTCTGCTCTGCGAAGCCATCGCTGGCTTGTACCCCAGCTCTGCAGGAATAAGTAAATAAATCTTAAAAAAAAAAAGAATGCGCGGCCCGAGGCGGCCTCGGCATGAAGACAGCAGGCTGTGGCCTCCACCCAGCTCACCCCTCGCCCCGCCCCGGCACCTCCATCGCCCACTCTGCTCTGAGCCTCGATGCCCACGCCGTCAGAGACCGGATACTCAAGGCCGAGGACGACCGGGCCTCAGCGAAACCTAGCCGCCCACTGTCGGAAACCGCCGCCACCAGCAGCTTACCCCGGCAGCCTCCCTCCCCGGACTCTGCCTCCCTCAGGGGCGCCCGCAGCGCCCTGCGCCAGCGGGCTCCCCGCCCCCCGCACCCCGGAAGAGCAGGTGACTTCGGTCCAGCCCCACAACTGCTGGGACAGGCCCAGCCTCGGGCCGCTGGCCCCAGGGCCCCACCAGCGGGGGGCTCAACACCCCTGAGCGAGGCCAGCCCAGGCCGGGACGCTCATCCCAAGGGAGCCTCGCGCGACGGCTGATGGCCGCCCAGTCTCCACGGCGCCTTCCCGTCGGCCCCCACCGACGTCGCCCGAAGGCGACAGAACACTCGCCAGTGGGCACCACGGGCCGGCCCCTGTCAGCCTCACCACCCAGGGACCTGAGCCGTCCATGAACGGCTGGCTCATCTGTTGAGAGAGAAAAAAAATTTGCATTTACGGAAACTCAGAA